AATCAATCAGGCTTAAAACCAAGGTCACTTTCACTTCACCTTCTCCTTCATCCTCTAACTCTGAAAGGTCACCAAGGCCTGCGGAGTTTACATCCAATACGCCTCCCACACTGAAAACAACACTTGCTGCCTGTTATCAATGATGTGGACCATTCTTTCATTATTTCTCAGACTATTCTAATTCATCTTCATAAGCATTACTGCTTTTACATTGATCACTTTTAATTCAACATACAAGTGTCAGAGAAAAATATAGTAAAGCACAACCTTCAACATTTGCCCACCAAGGGGCTCAACAGAGCAGCAAAGGCCTCCTCTAACCATCTCCCGTTCAATCTTCCCTCAATCGACAATCTCCCATTATCTCTTCACCCTAACATGTCCTCCACATCCCCGCAATCATAGCTGCCTCTAAGGAGTCCGATTGCACCCTCCCAGTCCTCAGCCTATATAAGCTATACTACTAGCACTCAAAATTCATATGTGCCATGTACAGTATCATATCACTGTATTCATGCCAAATTACAACATTTATTACGTTCTACTATATGACACTGTCACTTATAAATAAACCTTTCTACTGTTCAGATTTAATAATGAATGATCACATCAACACACAGCATGTAAAATATTTTAAAAAGAAAAAAAAATTGATTCAAAATCTATACAGTAAAAAATTGTGTAAGACTTAAAATATTACTGATGAAAGAAAGCTCCCATTACACAAGCAAACTTTAAAAAGTTCATTGCAAATGAAATAAAATATGCTTATTTGTGAAAAAAGAAATTGAAATCTGGGCATAAATTTTTTTTCATAATACATGCTTAAATGAACTTTTGGAAGCCTCCTATATTTATATACATCATTTTTGCACCTTAATAAACTAACCTTCTTATTCCATTTTCCATTAACTTAATTAAGTTCCCTTGAATAAACAAAAGTAACTCCATAGGATTTCCTTAAATCTTCTGGCATTTAGTTTAAAAGATATCTTATCCTAGAAGTGACAAGTGCCAAACTTCAGGATACTTCATTTATTTCAACACTAATCCAATCTTTAATTCAGTACTAATTAAAATTGTCTTGGTGTTTTTAAAGTAGTATTTTTTTTTATCCAATTCCATGAGGGCCCACGATTCTGTTTAACCACAACAATTTCAACTAGAAAAGGAAATATGTGGAAAAGAACAACTGCAATAAATGATACACCCAGTTTCAGGGGCCTCAGAAGGTGATTATCTCAAAACCAACAAATATGAACAAACATAATTCAAATCCCAAGTTGCACTCCATACAGAAATTTTTGATGAACAAAAAGAATTTAATTTTATAAAAATCTGTTCTTTTATAACATTTGTATATGACCCAAGCTTTTTGATTGAAAGACCTTTAACTGCATTATAGTCACAGTGACATTATAAAGTTAGCGAATGAATTATACTTCAAGCTTTACAAATGTACTGAATGTACTTTAGGTAATAGGCAGGAAACAGTTATTTGGCATCATCCTTTTTAAATGCTTTTAAAATTCTTTCAGTAATGTAAGTTCATCTAAATGACAAGGATACCAAGACAAAAACGTAGGCAGGTCCTCAACTTGCCTGCTCTTTACTGTCAATTAATTATTTCCTAATGTCCTAAAGCATCCATGTGTACTCAGCACACTTTGCATCTATTAGATGGGAGACTGTTTCTTCTATTTTTCATCACCTGGCTAAGACTCTGGTGAAAACCACACTCAGGAACCTCACATTAATAAATTATCATTCTGACCATACTGATTAGCAGTCATTTCCTTACCCTCACCTCAATATTTCCAACAAGAACTTCAGAATGCTGTTCCTGAAAGGTAACATCCAGCGTAATTCACAGACCTTTGGACAGTGGCAGAAGCACAAGGTGGGTGTTCTCTACTTTGCTTCCACTGTACTCTGGTTCTGCGTTCCAGCCCCTTCCACTCTATCCTGGTCATCACCTATCCACACATCTGGCTTCAAGGCTTCTCTCCTCCTTGACAGTTCAAAGGCAGTGTTACCTTTTGTCTAGTTACACATCTTCAGGATCAAGCACTTAGGAACATAGTAGTGCTCAGTAGATGCATTATTAAACTTATCCAGAAATCTTGTCTCATGCAACAGCTATGAAACATTTTCCACACTTCATCATAACTATATCTGAGCCAAGATCTACGTTCACTAGTAATAGGTCCATCATTGTATTGCTTGGGTCAGCCATTGACTTTTGACATAAACAGTCAGGCCAAAGGAGATCTAAGCGGAATGCCTAAGAATAGACTACCATTCCATTTTTCAATATATGTGCTGTATGAACAGTACAAAACATACTACATCTTAGCACACACTGAGCAGTTACTCTCATACACTCAGTGACACTGCAGAACCAGCCAGCTCCTCGAAATCAGAAGAAATAGTTGTTACTGCTCTCAGTTCATCATGTTAAATCCTTGAGGCCATGCATGGTGAAATTACAAATATACTAGGTATTTCCTTTACATGTCCTTCACAGTCTAAGACTCCTTAATTATGTCCTGCAAAATAATTTATCCTGTAAGTAGTTAAGACATATTGAACTTGAAGATTTCATTCACCCTTTATACTGAGGATCTGTTTTGCCAAAAGGCTTCTAAAGAAAGCTATGCTTGGTACATACTTAACCCAGCCTTTTCCTTAACAATTACCCTTGAAAGTAGTTATTTTCTGTTGTTCATAATTTAAACTGAGGCACTGCAATATTTTCAAAAACGGGAATGTATCAAGGGATTCACTTTTGGACTAACAACAAACTTTATGATGTAATCACCAGGACAGTGTTGATATTACAACAAACCACTTTCTTCACAACTGACAAGTAATAAAAGATAAATATGTGGGGGATGCTGCTGCAAAAACCAACTTGGCCAACAGTAATTACCAACTCCTTTCCATTACTATATGACAGAGAAACAAGCAGGCTGAACTCTTTTATAATAATTATGTGATTTTTCTCCACAAAGCCCACAGATGCACTGACAACACAGTCATTTCCAGTACTGGACAAATATTGTAGACAAATAGGAAACGCCAGAGCAACGCACCTTGCCGACTTCCACACCCACAACCCACTAAATAGAGACTCTGCATGACAGACTTCTTTGCGAGTCAAGTTTCTCAACCAGAAAGTTTTAAACCCAAACCTCCAAAAAGACTAACACAATAAATAATGGCAGAAGCTTAACTACCAAATAACTATTCATTTTTACCATAACTCATAGTGAAATCATTAACAGTGGCTAAAACTTAGATTCATAACAAATTATAGACCAAAATCATGTAGGTTTTTAATGCTTCAAAACCAATGACTTTGTAATAACACTAACCATTTCCTTATATAAATTACTTTGATTTGAAGTTCTAACACTGTCACAAAAGTAAAATGTCTGTCCACTCCAAGAGTGGGAATGGAAGGGAAGATCATTTCTGTAGAATCTGATCCATTTGTTGCCCAGCTACAGTGTAGATGCATTAAAGAAAAATTCTGAATTCCTTCTCTTAGCCCAACTACAGAATTAGAAAATGAGAATGGCTTTCAACTTCATACTCTCCAGAGAGGCAGAGAGCTAGTATTGTGCCTGCCAAACATACGCACTTTTCCAAATCGCATACTCCTCATTCCTAAGTGTCCAGTGCTGAACTCAAAACCTGACCCCAAGCAGCAGCTACCATGTTATGACACTATGACATCATTCTGTCTGGAGCACTTGAACGTAACAATCTGAATAAACTGGCATAAGCTTAAATAGGTCACACTGAAGCCAAAAGCTAAGGATATTTATCTGGCAGAAATATGTTGGCACTGCCTTTTACCACTGACCATGGAATATCAGGCCCATCATTTATCTCTTTGCTCTTTTCATAAAGATAAATGAAAGGATATAAATCTTGTCACCTTTCTGTACTGTGCACACAGCAACAAACTAAAGCAAAGGTGAGTGCTACCATGTGTTCTCTTGAGGCCCATCTTTTACAGAACACTTGCCAAAACTTCCACTGCTGCAGTTATACAAAGGCCAAGAATTTAGCCTCGACTACATTTATAATGAGCTCCAAATTTCAATGAAATAAAGCCACAAAACATTACAAAGATTTACAGCATATGCAAAATAGTGCCTACTTTTGCAAAGAGCAGGCTACACATTAATCACATTTATTTCTTAACCCTCCTTGATATGGACAGCTACAGTTTTACAGTACATCCTTGGAAGGTACTCAGGTTCCATTTTTAACTGGCCTCCTCTGAGTACTGGCAACCAGCTTGATTTCTTCTTGTGAAATTAGAGTTAATCTGAAAGCAACATGTAGAAACCACAGAAGCTTCTGATAGTCTCAGCCCCAGCACCCCCAGCATAAATTTTCCTTTCACAATAAACAATGTGCAATCAAAAAGGTTTCCTGTTTCAAAATGGAATGGTAGATAAAAGACACTGTAGCTCTACTATCAACAATAAAGTTTTTTAATGAACATGAATTCTCTAAGATGAAGGTGGAAACTCTGAAATACTATTTGCTTACTAAAGGCTGATGTGGTTCTTTCCCCCAGAAAATAGGGTCAGCATGAAACGTGACTGTTACGAGTGTTGTATTGAGACTTTTCTTAAATGATTTGCCTGTCCTCTCCTGTTACCTAAGGGCAACACTATCTCATGCAAGCCAGGACAAATACTTCCAAACTGCATGAGGGCCATACACCCAGAAAAGCAACCAATGGTGAAAACTTTGCATATCTTGACTTATAAAGAACTCTGAACCTTGAAAAGTTAGGCAAAAGGTTACATGGGGGATCTGAATCCAACTTCTCGAAGCAGAGTGGAAGTAAGAAAAAGTGGTCAGTGCAAACCCCAACACTGTTGCCAGAGCAATACTTGAATAATTAACAGACTGCGGAAATCTAGAGAAACCACATTCAGGGCGAAGAAGAAGCGGCCGCACAGTGATGAACTTACGACTTTGTCCATCAGCTTCCAAGTTTTCTCCACAGTCCTGCGATCTGCAGCCGCTTGCTTCGGGGGTCCCACGGCATCCTGAATGGCATCAATAATGCCCAAAATTCGTCCTTTCCGGGGGTTTCCTCCGCGACCGCCAGGGTTTCTGCCATTCATAGAATTTGCCATCTGGAATCTCAAGTCCTTTGAGAAGCAGATTCAAAAGAAGAAAAGTTAGTAGGGTAGGAAAATATCTGCCCAGTGGAAAACTGCACAGGCTAAGCTGCACTAGGCACCTTCCCCTCCAACAAGAACAAGATCACAGTGCCAGACACAACTTTTTGGTTAAGTGTGTACATTTAACGCTCTCCATCTCCACACACAATAAATTTTGGTGCAATGATGCTAGCCTGGTCTTCAGAACACTGAGTGAAAGATGCTTCCTCCTATTTCAAAGGGTAAAGCTTAACTAATACCCAACTTGCAACAAAAAGACAACTGTAAATAGTTCTCCTCCAACTAGTTCCCAACACTATTTGTTCTCCTGTCTGCCTTCACCGGAACTCAAAGTACTGGAGCAACGGTAACCCCTAGGATACATTTGGAAGTCTCACCGGGAAGCCTCCCTTTCACTCATCTGGGGCTCGCCAAGTTACATAAACGTAAAGATTATTTTCCACTAGCAAAAAGGAGAGGTCTGTGATCCACAACGGCGTAGGAGATTAGACACCATCCCCTCCTCCGGGTGAAACTACCCAGGACGGAGCAGGAACACGCAGCTCCTGCTAACAACGCTGTAAGTAGTTATTTCCCAAGAGCCAAAAGAAGCCCACAAACAGCCTGTTAGAAAAGGGAAGGTGGGAAAACTGACAAGAGCGCCGCGATGGCAGAATTCACTTCTCTGGGTGCCCTGAGGCTCACCGGCGGACAGGAGCGAGCCCAAGCTTTGTTTCAGGACATCTGCGCCCCCCTCCCCGCTCAGGCCCCGTCTCCACCGCTCCATCGGCGGTCGGGGGAGGCCGGCAGACAGAGCGAGGACAAAGTGTTCCCTCGCCGCTCCAGCGCCCAGCGTCCAGCTGCGCAGCTGGGGCACTCGGCGCGCCCGGCCACCTCTCCATCCCAGCGGCGCCACTCCTGCCCTCCCTCGCCTCCTCCTCCCTCGCGGCCCGCCCGGGTCCCGGTCTTTAAATACCCCAGTTGGCGCGGAGGACGGCGGCGGCAAGAGCAGCTGGAAGCCGGGGCTGTTCCCTGTCGGTCCGTGGCCCGTGCCTGGCTGCCCGCGGGGCTCCCCGGCGCCCCCCTTGGCTCCTAGGCTCTGGGCGCCGTGGCCGTCCCGACACGCGCGTGTGCGCGCGCCCCTCTCCACGCGCACAGCCGGGGCGCTTGGGCAGGGAGTGTGCGATCACCCCCGTGGAACAGCACGCTCCTGAGGAGAGCAGCGGTCCGGAGCGCCGGCCACCCAGACGTGAGGACGCGACAGTTACCGTCCAGACAAATCCACACGCGCGCTGCCCGCCGCCCGACTCTCGGGGAGGCCCCAGGACGCCGCCGCCGCACCAGCCGGAGGAGGACACCACTCGCTGGCCACCCCACCCCTGGGAGCATACACACAGACCCAGGCGCGGGGCGGGGCCGGGGGCGGGGCCGCCGGCCTCTCCGCCAATCACGCGCCACCGCGCACAGCCCGACAGCGGGCGGAGCCAATGGGCGGGCGTGGCCCGCCTTCCTCGCGCTACCGCCCCGTCCACGTCTCCCACAGTACACAATGGCCCCAAAGGAAGGCAGGCAGGCTCGCTGCGCGTCCCAGACGGAAGGGGACTCGGCGAGCAGAGCGCCTGGACTGCCCTGGGAACGAAAGAGGGAAAAGGAAAGGGAAGAAGAGCTGAAAGGCACCGGGGAACTAACCAATAAAGGGAGGGAAGGTGGGCGTGAGCATAAGGAGCGGGAGCCCAAACTGACTGGAACTACAAGGCGGGACTTCCTGCTTCACTCACCTTCCTCCTCTTTTGTTTCATAGCAACAGAGTAGTGGCTGGATGGCTGGGTGTTGCCTCCCGACTCTGGGCGGGTCTGAGGCTGAAGAAATTCTTCTCCCTAGGGCTACCAAACTTTTACCTAGGATAGCGGCCAAGCAGGTCTCAGACGTTGGCTCTTTGGGCTGTACAGGAGCAGTCACGAAGCTTGAACGAGTATAGACTTCATACTAGAGTAAGCTATAGGTAACCCTTGATTGCCAAGAGAAACTTCTTGAATTTCTGAGCCGTTCCCCTTTACTGTCACTTCTAGAGGAACTACAGCTCAGACAGGCTGATGGAAGTGGTTGACAACGCTGGTCAAACGCCATCATTAATGGGGATTGCTACTATATGTCCTGCTTTTTGTCCGAGTCACCGTCGCTCCGCTTAAAATTGTCTCTGTTTTTAAAAAGCAGCCTTTTGTATCTGCCATTCTCTCTCTCATGTTAATCCTTCTCCGTGTCCATATTAAAAGGCCCACATCTGGCTAATCTTAAATGGAAAAAGCTACTGTGTTGTGAGCTTTTTTTCAACAACATCATGGATTAAATGAATGCTTCCATTTCTTTCTGTTGACTTTAAGCAGCTCCCCCCATTTAACATTTGTTCTGAATTTTTTACTTTGCAACTTTCTACTTCAGTTGGGAAGGTTGAATAAGTCTGTTGCTTCTCAAATGTGATATTTTGGATCATTTTTAAAATTGTATTCTACTCTCTCTGGTTTTTTTTTCTTAACTTGATAAAATATGTGGCAAAGATTCCAACCACTCTCTAGCAAATAACCCTTTCATTGATTATTACTGTTACAGATAATAGGCTCTTATGAACATGCCCTGCTCCTAAATTCAGAGAGTTAGAATCTCATTTGTTGCAACAGACAAAATATATTGTTTGCAACGAGTCAGGTGGTAACATGCAATTCAGGAAGTAATTTTGTTTCCTTGTCATTATTCATATGCCAATAATTTTAGTTCCTTGTGTTCACACTGTGTTTATCTACAAAAGAGCAGGCTTCTTCCCCCATCCATCCATATCTCCCTTTCATAGGGCAGTAGTAACTATATGAATTAAAGGGAAACTTGGAAAGTGAAAAAAATCTTTCAAGGTTACCTTTTAAATAAATCCGAAATACACAGAAACTATATATAGAAGATTTGCAGCATGTTATAACCTAGTGTTGTAACAGAAACTTATGTTAGTCATTCATATCTGAGCAATGTAGAATAAATACATGTTACAGCATGTGCTGTCTCCATTTTTTGTAACTGAGATATTAATAGGCAACTGATATTCCTATGTTTTAAGCATATCAAGATGAATCAGAATTTTTACCGGTTTTTTTGATGTATTTTTATATATGTGTATCTGTTTTGTGTATCTTTTTTATATGTAAATACCTTGAAGCTTGTACAGCTTCATTCTCTAATACTTTTTATCAAAAATATCTAGACACCAAGTTCTGTTTTGGTGTTATAGGGAACCCAGTTGAGCACAAATTAGGATTAAGAGTTTAGTTAAGTGTGATGAACTAGTGGCACAAGGCCTTAACTGTGAGCTATTAGCAAGAGCAGGAATGCTAGGAAGAAAAATACTTGCTGGGGTAAAAACTTCATAATGCAGGTTGCTCCAATGGAGACACCAAAGATAGTGCACAATGGAACAATCCGTGCTGAGGCACAATTAGTAGAGCGTGAACACTGTGGGTTGATATGAGGGGTTGGTTCCTCATCCCTGGGTGCTGGGATGTGTGCAAAGTCATGAGTGACTTCCCCCTTTGTCTCTCCCCTTCTCCGAAGAAAAAAACAAGAAATAGCAAATTTGGAAGCAATGAGTTCATCCAATTTTCCCTAAGCCTCAATCCTTCCCACCCTGATCAAACATGTAATCATTGCTAAAAAAATAAAATGCATAAAAATACTATGATACTCAGTCATAAGCAATAGTACTTCAAGCTAAGAAAAGTTAGGCTAAGAAATGGTTTCCTCATCTCTACAGAGCAAGTGGATCTCCAGCATGGTACAAAGCATATTCAGCATAATTTGAAAGGATGAATATTTGTAACCAAGCCAAAACCTGCTCATGACTTCCTTACTGGAGTAGTGTTCCACTGCAAGCTTCTGAAGGGTAAAACCGTGAGAGTCCTACATAAGGCATCTTGCATTGCCAACTTGGCCAGTAAGTGAACCATGTGAGCAAGCAAATCATTCGCAAATTTGAGAGCCCCCTCCGAACTCTTAGTAACTACTAGAAGACTCCATGGCAAGCATACTTAAGAAATTTTATATAGGCACCAGTGAACCCTTGTAATATTTGGCACTAGTGTGTATACCACAGCCCAGTGTGATTTAAGAAAGCGCAGATTATATTCCTGACTTTAAACACAGTAAATTTAAAAAGATGGAGCAAAAAGTAAACAAGATGATTCTTTGGACAGCAATATTTGTACTTTGATTTATTTCATTTTTCTTCTTTTCCTCTACTCTGTCCAACTTTACAAAGGACCCCAGTGATATTGGACATGAGTTGATTTAATAACAAAGTTTTCCCACAAATTATTTGGCCCCAGATAGCTAAAATTTGTTTACTGAATGAATGAATTCACTGTGTAAGGAAATATGAACCTGCTCCTGTTTCTGCATAGTGCTGAATTCATTTCATTCACAACTGCAAGTGAGATTTTACTTTTCCTACTATAAGTCTGCATATAAGTCATGCCAGGAAGATTTACAATGTCCGTTCTAACACACACACACACACACACACACACACACACACACACACACACACAATACTGCAATACAGAATGCTAATTCCCAAGAAAGAACATGGCTGTAAATTCACAGGTTATAGAAAAATAGAGCGAGAAGAATTACTCATGTCTGTGATGACCAAGTCATTATTTATCCAGAGGACTACATTTCCATTCACCCTTAATATCACACTCTTGTAGTTGGCAGTTGTAGAAGCTGAGCTCATGGACTCATCAGATATAAACCATCTCTAGACCCTAGACTCAACGGGAATCCTTGCTTAACAATGCAGCAAAATTATCAATGACTTTAGGTAAACAGAACCTCATTTTTCCTAGAGGGAGATGTGTAAAGGGAAGAATTACAGGTAGGCATGGAGGCTTGAGTACCCAATTTTCTATGTCTTCTATGCCACACCAGCAACTGGCATCTGACCTCAGAGCAGTTTCATATTTTAAGGTGGCAATTGGCACTCCAGCCTTCACCAATGATTGTGAGTCTAAAGGCTATGAGGAAAATCAGAAGAGCAAAGCAAACTTCCAGCTGACTCAATGTTCTTTATTCATTCCCTGAGAACTCCCATAAGTATTTCTCTTAAACAGCTCAAGGCCAGAACTCAAACTCCTGGCCAAATTTGGTACAAAAGTTTGAAAGTTAATGTGCTTTTTAATCTGGAAACTAACATAACCAACTGAAAAACTAAAGGGTTTCTGTCTCTCTCTCTTTCTCTATCTCAAGAGAGAAGTATGAATAAATCTAGGAAAAAACTAACAAACATTGTCACGATGATCATATTACAAGAATTAAGCTTATGACTAATAGTTCACTCCTGGAAGAAAAAACACAGATCCAAAGGCAAATGGTATAAAATAATAAAAATTTGGAATACTTAGAGAAATCTCAATCAGATTTACATAATATCCTCACTTACAGTTTTTAAGATTCATTAGTGAAAAAATAGCGACTACTATTACTAGACACCTATATCCTCTAAAGTTTATCACATGCATATGCGTGTCTATATATAAAATGAATTATATACTATTCATTTTACAACATGTGTGCTCAGTAATCCTTAAACAATCAATTTCACTTGGTGCAGAATGAGCAAAATTATTAGGAAATCCCTAATAAGATCTCTATCCTAACATTTCTTTCAGATTAAACAAATATACCTAAAAAAATTAATATCTTCAAAGTCACTTCATTGTGAGTTTCTTCTCTGTATAACTAATTCCTTTGCATTTTTTTCCATATGACGATTCATTTGGTAGCCATGTAAAAACACGGTTTTATAACAAAGTGTTGCATGTGGCTACTTGAAAACTGAACAAACCATCTATGTTGATCTAGTTATGTGGTCCTTCATTCCTCT